TTGAATCCCAGTATTCAAAAGCTTAACAATTTAGTTTCTCTGACCTCTCCAAACATTGGATCTCAACAATAGTTCCACCAATTCTCCACAGTTTGGCTCCAGGGTTTTGCCCAAGCCTGAAGTGCCTTTTCTAGACCTCAGCCTTCAGCAGTCACTTGGTAGAGTGCTTCCAATTCCACAATGCCTACCTAGAAAGTGTCAAGCAATGGTTGTTAGCGCCAATTCCATGCCAAAAGGAATCCCTAATTTGGGGTGCAGTGAAGAAGGAAACTGGTGCAAAACAGGTCAATGTGATACAGCACAGCTGTGAGGCCACCCTGGGGCCAGACCCCTCTCCAGTTAGAGAGCTCTGCTCTGTGCCAGCCTGCTCAGTGCTGTCTGGTCTGCTCTCCTTGGGGCTGGTTTGCCTCACCAAGTCAGGGAGTCATAGTCTTCAGTGAAAAAGAATAGTGTACGCTCTGAGCCAGAGGGGAGCCGGCTTAGAGATCCAATGTTTGGAGAGGTCAGAGGGACCAAATTATAGAGACAGAGTCTCTGCCCCTGGCCCCTGATTGGTCCATCCTCATGCAAGTGAGGATTCCAAATCCTAACCGGTTGATCCAAAAAGCACTGTATGGTTGGTTAGAAATGAGCTGCTTTGATTGGTCAGTGATGTAGCTCCAATTGGGTGGGAAAAGCCTCAGTCCTATTGGTTGAAATAGGACTACAGAAAGCCCTTTATAGGCTCAGGTGGCAGACAGGCAGCTGAGCACAGAAGCAGATGGTCCCTTCAGTGCAGGCTTTTCCTGGAAGTGCAGTGTGCCTGACAGGCCCAGTGTGGGAATGGCTGGCCTTTTTTTTTTTTTTTTAATTTGAGCCTAGTTTGCCACCAAGAGCCCTTCTTAGTAGGTATCCTCTTTCTCAGGGTCCACAAAAGAAAATTATATTTTCTAAGAAAGCTTCCTTGAATTCCTTTCCACAACCTGCAGGATACTTCCATGGAACTTCTTCAGTATGTTACACCATTACTCTGTTTATATCTCCCATCAACAGGAAGGATTCACTAAGTTACTGAGTATGATGACAAGCACATCCTAGTACATGGACAAAATCTGAGTTTACCTCAGTTACTGGAGACAGCCTCTGCTGCTGTATTCACCCAAGTCTCAGGCCCTCCCACTTGCAGGAAGATCGATGTTTCATCCACGGTTGTGTTGCTAGGATTTAGAATTCCCATCCATTGAACTTGGTTTTCTGAAGACAGCCTCCTTGTGTCCTAGCCATGCTGAACCTTTCTTGCTTTTCAAGTATTCAAGTTTCCAGCAAGTTTCAGGGGCTTATTAGTATTTTGGATTTTTGAAGAAAATGATGTTCACACAAGATAGTTTGGATGTATTGAGCAAAGGCACCATATCTGGTTGGTTCCCTAGAGAAAAGCAAATAACTTTTGTGGTTTTTTTAAGTCCAGACACCCCCCTTGGCCAACTCCCTAGCCAGGGAAATACTAGTCTCTTCCTGATCACTTATTCATAAAATGAGAATACCGTTACTTACCTCAATTTGATTGTATCGGTTAAATGAGCGACACATATAAAGGATATGAAACTTTTGAACTTGCTTACATCTGCTGTGTTTATAACCTTCATCTGTTTATTACCCAGGACAAACTCAGCATCTGTCTCCTCCAAGCACCACATTCTGTCCCACTGTCCCTATCCCAAATGTACATATGATAGTTGTGGCAACAGACCCTAGGATGACCTCCCATGATTCCTCTCCTGGTGTTCCTGCCTTTGTATAATTCCTTTTCCTTGAATATAGGCAGGACCTGTGATTTTATCTAACCAATAGACGGTGGCAAAAATGATGGGCTGTCACTGCCTGGACCATGTTATATTACATAAGACGGTCTTGCTGCCAGACTAGAGACGCTCCTGCTTGGCCTGACGAAGCAGCTGTATGGCTCACATGGCAAGGACTGCAGGTGGCCTGTAGGAACTACAAGAAACCTCCACGAGTTAGAGTGGCTGGACCCTAAGTTTTACACACCAAGGAAATGAATTCTGCCAACAATCTGAGTGAACTTGGAAGCTGATTCTTTCATAGTTGAACTTCCAGAGGAAAACCTAGTCTAGCTGACACCTTAACTACAGCCTGTGATACCTGAGCAGAGGACTGAGTTAAGATACGCCTGAACTCCTGAACACAGATATTGTGAGATAAGAAGTATGTGTGTTGCCCTAGCCAGCTTGGTTCAGTGGATAGAGCGTCGGCCTGCGGACTGAAGGGTTCCAGGTTCGATTCCGGCTAAGGGCACATGCCTGGGTTGCGGGCTCAATCCCCAGTGGGGGTGTGCAGGAGGCAGCCGATCAACGATTCTCTCTCATTATTGATGTTTCTATCTCTCTCTCCTTCTCCTTTCCTCTCTGAAACCAATAAAGAAGTATATATTTAAAAAAAGAAAAAGAAATGTGTGTGGTTTTAAGATGCTAATTTTGTGGTTATTGTTACACAGCAATAGCTAACAGATACACCAAGTGTGGGATGCCGTCTGATGCTAGGGCAGCTATTCTATAGTCTGACGGAAAGGAAACGTCTGTGCACACTAAAAAGAATACAGCTAACCAACCTCACTTCTCTCCAGAATGTGAAAGTAATGTAGCGAGATTAGAAGGCTAACAAGCCTGAGCCCCATGACAGCCACGAGAAAGCTGAACCAAGAATAAGCTGAAGCCATGACAGAAAAGTGTAGCACGGAGTACCCAGGGACAGTAAGCAATCGGGGACAGCTGTAGAAGCTGGAAACGTGGAGGGACCGATTCAATAGGCAGTGGGTGGGAGATGAACAAACACCTCTTAAGCCAGACTGACCAGCTACTCAGTCTCTAAACTTATCAGGAACCTCATGGGTCTTAACCTACGGCCTGCTCCTTATGACAGAACAAGCACCCATTTTTAAAGCCATGCATAATTCTTTGATAAATTCACATTAACCTGAGTGAGTCTGATTGTGGTGGCCAAAAGCTGAGACGTTAAAGCGTAGCATCTGAAGGTAGAGAGTGCAGAGTTGGTAAGGTGGCTGCACAACCTAGAAGGGTCCAGATGACTACCTTCTGCATTGCCAGATTTCATTCTCTGGCTCATGATCCAAGTTGGCAGCAACAGCTCTAACCATCTGGTCTAACACTGAGTGAACTACAATTCAACTCTGACACTAACCACCCATTCAGCACAGGGTCCACAGGTTGAGGGCAGAGTTTCTCACAAAGCTGCTCTTACTTCAGACGCCAGCCATAAGTCTCAGGTGATCCCCCGGCCGCTTGCACTTCTGTCTGCTATAAATGTGGGGGCTCGCACAGATTTGTTCAATAATTAACTAGGATGACTCAGAACTCAGAAAGCACTCTACTTATGATTACAGTTTTATTACAAAGGATACACACAGGGTGAGGTCTGAGAGGGACCACAGAGCTTTCATGCCTTCCTCATAGAATTGGGGCAGGTCACCCTACCAGCATATCAGTATGTTCACCAACTAGGAAACTCCTCTGAACTCCAATGTCCGAATCTTTATTGGGGTTTAACTATGTAGGCATGATAAAGTAAATCATTGGCCACACAATTGAGCTCAATCTCCAGCCCCACTTCCAGCCCCCTTTTCATTCCCCCATCTAAAGGTCCCTACGCTCCACCTCCACACTAAAATAAAGCTATTTAGAGGCTCACAAGGAGTTACCTTTTTCCCCCCCTTCAGTGAATAGCATGTACCTTTATTTATAATGGCAGGGGACAAACATGAATAAAGCTTCAACTTGATGTGTTCACACTAATATCATTCCTTAAGGACTTGAGAACATAGAAGAGAATTGGACAAAAAAAGTCAAGTCATCTATGACTGCTTTTTATTACCAAAATATATTAACCTTTCACCCTAGAGACTGCAAAAGGAAGTTAAGTTAATCTTGTAATTCTAGAACAAACTTCATAATGAGGGATTCTAAAGTTTTCATAGAGTGTGGAATAAAAGGTGATAAAATCACGTAAGACAGTGTTTCTCAAATAGAGCTACTTTCACAGACATTCTTGGGAGGGGAGGTTGCCACATGATCACAGCATCTGCACATGTACCTCTGAGCCCTGCAGACCAAGTAAAGACCCACTTTGCTTAACATTTCATGTGGCCCTTCTCACATCGGCCCTCAGACCCTTCCCAGAATTGGTGAGCATTTCCTATGACCTCCGTGAGTTGTCAAGGTTAAGAACACAAGTTCAGAGCAGTGATTAAGATAGGATGGGGGAGACACATGGAGTTTGGAAAAGCACATTCAAAATACCTATTGATTTCAAAATACAAACTATAAATTCAAACTCCACAAAATAATTTTTGGGCAGTAGAATAAAATTAACTAGCAATTCATCCTAGGGAGCCTGGGATAATCTGGTTGGGAAACACTGGCTTAGCGGGAGGAGTCCTGGCACACGAACAATAGTAAGAGCCATGTGCAAAAGAGAAAGAACTTTTGTGGGTCAATGAGGGAACCCTGAGCCGTTACTTGTCACGGTCTATGGCAGTGGTTCTCCACCTTCTGGCCCTTTAAATACAGCTCCTCATGTAGTGGCCCAACCATAACATTATTTTCGTTGCTACTTCATAACTGTAATGTTGCTACTGTTATGAATCGTCATGTAAATATCTGATATACAGCATGGTCTTAGGCGACCCCTGTGAAAGGGTCATTCGACCGCCAAAGGGGTCGCGACCCACAGGTTGAGAACCGCTGGTCTATTGAAACCCAAGGGCCAATCCGGAAGAAACCCAAGATGTCCATCCACCATCTCAGACCTGTGGTTTGTGGCAAGTGGCTCCACTTTCAATAGCGTTGAAAGAAGAAAAGCCTGTTTTTGCTGAGAATGCTCCCATTTTTTTGGTTTAGATATTTCAGAAGATTAAGTAATCAGTTGCTGGGTAAAGGTCGCCCCAGATCCATCCACCAGAAGTGTTGCCACCGTCCAGTGCTCTCAAGGGAGACATCAGCCTGGGTCTGTAATTACGGCTGTAGAGCTCCCATTTCTATTAGCCGCACCATCAGTTCCCCACGTCTATCCATCTCTACTAGACCACTGTATCCACCTATACACTCTTTACTGATAAAGATTCGAGGTACTGTTCTGGCTTCTGTGAGGTGTTGCAAATAATCTTGAACCCTCTCTGTGTTCCTGGTGACTGTGATATCCACAAATACCAACGACTCTTTTTTGAAGGGGCAGGTGGGCTGCACGAACACCACCATCCTCCCAGGCTTGAGGTGGCTGTCCACAGACTCCTGGGCTGGGCAGGTGGGCTGCATCCTGGCGGGGAGCCTCCACGGCAGGTATCCCTCAGGAGTAAGAACCGCAAGGAGTTACCTTGCTAGCACAACAAAGATGGACCTATCAGCCAGGAAGTTCCTGAAGCTGGATGCCAGGAACCCAGCCCAAAGACTAGACAAATTATTTACTACACCACACCTTTACTCCTTCATCTTGTCAGGAGCAAGCGGCAAAGAAGGCCCTGTTCTGTCTCCTTAAAGACACTTACTGGAAGCTGCATGGGGTATCTCACTTACAGCTCAATGACCAGAACAGAGCTGTGCTGCAAGGGAGGCTGGAAATGTAGTTTTGTTTACCTTGAAAGCAATGTGGCAATGTATCTAGCTAAAAATTGAAGAGACAATTTTTAAGAAAGAAGGGAAGCCTGGCTATTCAGTAACAATGAATGGTATTTGAACAGAACTCATGCAAAGGATAAAGAGAAACACAAAAGGTAGAAAGTTCTTTCACTTCAGCCTCTTTGGAAAGTTGAAATTCAAGGAACCAATAACACAGTTGTGAGCAGTTTCCAAGATAACAAATGCCAGGGTTGTGTCCTGAGCTCCTGGGGTCTGGCTGTTGCCGCCAGCAGCAGAGCTGAGCGCGCCCACATCAGAGCTTCCTGTCTGTCTGTGGGATCAGCAGAGACAGGAACGATCATCCCACAGCTGTAACTGTGCAGAAACACTGCACAGAAACTTCATTTCTTCCATTTGAAATTTTCTCCTTCTTTCCTTTTGGTTCAAACTGCCCTTGTCCATCCTCAGCCACTTCCCTCTCCCTTGCACAACCAGTCCCTTAGTCATCAAGACTTCAGGACAATAAGGTTTTGGTCAGTATCAAATAATCTTCTGAACAAAACCTCAGATCTGTTGACCACAGAAATTGAGTTTTAGTCAAGTTAAATATAATATGTAGGCAATGGTTGTGTTTCAGCTCCAGACCCAGAAAAGCAGACTGGCCTCACTGACCACACCCATGTGAAACCCAACAGAGCATTGCCTTGGCTGATATCAGGACCTCCCACCCTAGCACCAACCAATCAATAGAGACCATGAGCCTAACTCCCTCAGTCACCGTGATTAATGATTCCCCCTATATAGCCCATCCCCTGGAAGCCATAGGGAGCCAGGTCTTAGAGCAACAACTCATCTGTGACCCCAGGTTTGACATCATTTTCTTTTTATTTATTTATTTATTTATTTATTTATTTATTTATTTTTATTGCTTAAAGTATTACAAAGAGTATTACATATGTCTCCCTTTTTTCCCCCCTGCCCTTGACAATCCCCTGGCCTCCCTACCCCCCAGTGTCTTATGTCCATTGGTTATGCTTATATGCAAGGCATCATTTTCTTAAAAAGAAACCTTTACTTTCTTTGCTGCAAACTCCCATTCTCATTTGATTGGGCTCTGATGAGTGCAGGTGAACAAAATTCTTTAGTTTGGCAGCATAGCCAGAGAAGACAATGGCGCACATCCTATGGAGCCAACAGGAGGAATGGACTACTCACTTCAACAGTAGACTGAGTGACAGGCACTCTACAGAGGCTAAGCATGCAGGGAGTATTATGTAAATACAATAAGACTTCCCTACAGAGGAGTGGAGGCAGAGTCGAAGGACTAATAATTTGCTCCCATTATTATGACAATATTTTTACGGTGAGGCCTATGTGGCGATGGAAGTCTCATTTAAGAACAGTTGTTCAAATGTTTTTAATAGGAGAACCACGATTGAACATTGTAGTGAGCAAATGTCCTTCCTTTTAGGAAATCCGTATCTTCCCAACCCTCTGAAATGATGACCATCCCAAGGCCTCTCCCCTGACCACAGGTTGGGTGTGGGCCCCACTGGAAGGTGAATCCTCTCCCATGAACTGGACACTTGTATGGAGACATGCGGAGACACGCGGTGCATGCAGCCCCGTCACTGTGACAGACAGTCCCTCGGAGTTCTGATAACCCCTGGGCTCCTGCCCTTCTGAGATCTGCCCCTTCAGCTCTGCCTTTGGTTCTGTGTGTTCTCTAGTATATATCTGGGGGGGGGGGACCCCACAAACTTTTAAAAATTGATTTCAGAAATGAAGGGAAAGGGAGAGAGAAAGAAACATCAATGATGAGTGAAAATCATTGATTGGCTGCCTCCCACATGTCCTCCCACTGGGGATTAAGCCCATAACCTGGGCATGTGCCCTGACCGGGAATCCAACCGTGACCTCCTGGTTCATAGGCCAATGCTCAAACATGGAGCCACACCGGCAAAACCCACAATTATTATCTTACTGTTCTGCAGGTATCCATCTGATGTGATGAAGTGTGGTAGCAATCATCTCAGGTAGAAACTATAGTTTAAATTTAACCCTGATGTTTGGCTTCTGTACCTATTTGCTTTGTTTAACAATAGAAAAGTTATTTTCATTTTCTGAATTGTATAAATCATCCCATTTGATTGAATGCCTTATTGACTGTGATGTGAATATCCCATTGATTGTGATCTTACTGGTTTTAGAAAGCAAATTCCTCTGTACCTGGGAAACAGGACAGCACAATTATCCCAAGACCTGAGGGTTCCAGATAATGTTTCCCTGTCAACTCAGTGGTCCCAAGACCAGGACAGCACAATTACTCTAAATTGCCTCGATGGCTCTAGATAATGTGTTCCTGTCAACCCAGTGGTCCCAGATAATGTGTTTCAGTGATCCGGAGACCCCAAACTGTAATTAACATGCTTAATTCTGCTTCTGTAAACTGCTTTTTTGCAAACCAAGTTCCTCATTCCAAACCTGGGATGTAATTAATACCTTTGTGATCTTTGCCTATATAACCCTGGAGTTGCGACCATCTTATTACTATGAGATTTGGGAATGACCCCTCATAGTCCTGGATTGCAATAAATATGACTCCTTAATTCGACTTCTTGAGGCATCCTTCTGTGATTTGCGGGGTACATTACAACAGTGAAACTTACCAGGTATCAAGTCAGCTGCTTTCTTTTCCGGAGAGTCTAGGGGAGCACCCATTTCCTTGCTTATTTGGGCTATTGGCAGAATTCAGTTCCTTGTGGTTGTAGGACTGAGATGTGTGTTTTCCTGCTGATCTCAGCTGAGAGTTGTTTCTAGCTTCTAGAGGCCACCCACATTTCTTGGTCTTGTCCCCTTTCTCCACCTTTAAAGCCACCAATGCAAGTTAAGTCCCTCTCATATTTCAAATCTCCTCTCCTCCTTCTACCTCATCTCTCTGACCAACCTGGGAAAACTTCTCTGCTTTTAGGATAATCCAGAATAATCTACTGAAGGTTCATAACCTTAATTACATCAACAAATTCCTTTTTCCATGTTAAGTCCGGGGATTAGGTTGAGGTCATCTGTGTTAAGCTGTTGAACTACATCTGATTAATGCCTGGGGCCAGGGGATCTGATTTCTGTCCCAACTTTGCTTCTAGTCAGCTGTCTGACTCTAGGTCAGAAATTTATATATATATAAATTATATATATATAATTTATATATATATTATAAAAATATATATATTATAAAAATATATATATTATAAAAATATATATATTATGAAAATATATATATTATAAAATATATATTATATATATAATTTATATATATATATATAATATATACTGAGTATATATTATATATATAATTGATTTTTTACAGAGGGTAAGGGAGAGGGAGAGAGATAGAGAGCTAGAAACATCAATGAGAGAGAAACATCGATCACCTGTTTCCTGCACACCTCCCACTGGGGATGTGCCCGCAACCAAGGTACATGCCCTTGACTGGAATCAAACCTGGGACCTTTCAGTTCCCAGGCCGACACTCTATCCACTGAGCCAAATCAGGTAGGGCGGACCTAGAACTTTTTCTTTTAATCCTCACCAAGATAAAATCACCAGATGTCCTCATAAACTCTGGGAAAAGCCACAACAATGTAAAAGGGGAACCTTGAAATCTAGTCTGTTGCCCAAGATATCCAGCAGGGGATCCTTGAAACCTATCAGGGTAAATCCCCGCCTACTGGGTCGCTCAGACTAGCTGTTGCCTGCCTGTGCTTATGCCACGTGCATTCTTAATAAATTTGCTTGATTTGATTCAATACTGCTTTCTGTCCTTGTCTGGATTCTTTCTCATGAGCGTGTCAAGAACCCAGGAGGGTTAAGGGATAAATATATTATTTTTATTTCTGAACTTGGAAGACATAAAATGGTTCCAGAAAATAAAGCATGAAATCAGCGTTGAAAAAAGGAACTGAGCAGGGGAGAGTCCCTCCGACACAGGTAGCTCTCTGGTATCAGACGTACATGTGGGGGTGCCATGAGAATATGAGACCCAAAGACACTTTGGACAATTGAGGCTTCTATGCTATTTTGGACGAAGGAGAAGAAAGGCAGGGGTCTGAGATTTCAAAGGGAAAGCAGGCAATACACAGGTAGACAAGACACAGCAAATTCGGTAAACAACACGCTGAGCCGCCCAGAACAACAGGACAGAGAGGGCAGCTCCAGAAAGAGCCTGTGCTAGATCTCTCCCTGTCTGCTATATTTAGCTTATATTATGATGCTAAGGTGGTAGCCCCTTCCTTCAAGCAGGTTTTTCTATCTAAATTCCTTTGGGCAGGTAAGGGGGAAAGGTCAAAGATTCTTCATGAGTCTTTTGTTTCTTTTTTTCTTTTTTTTAAAAAATTAAATCTTTATTGTTCAGATTATTACAGTTGTTCCTCTTTTTTCCCCCCATAGCTCTCCTCCACCCAGGTCCCACCCCACCCTCTGCCCTTACCCCTCCCACTGTCCTCATACATAAGTGTACGATTTTTGTCCAGTCTCTTCCTGCACCCTCAAACCCCTGTTCCCCCAAGAATTGTCAGTCCACTCCCTTTCTATGCCCCTGGTTCTATTATATTCCCCAGTTTATTCTGTTCATCAGATTTTTTATTCACTTGATTTTTAGATTCGCTTGTTGATAGATATGTATTTGTTGTTCATAATTAGTA